CTTATTCCGCTCGGAGCAGATTACGTGCTTGCTAATGTAACATGCAGATCCGCCATCAGAAATTATGTGCTTGGCAGAAACACGGACTAATATCATGGGAAGTGTGGTGCTGATGACGTGAACGAGGAAGACTGAGCTGAAGGAAGAGTGAAGACGGAATATTCTGAGGATTATAGTGCAGGCTGTGGATAGGAGTGGTACACCTACCCTCCTAAACCTGTGGTCAAACTTAATGCGGTCGTACAGTTGTACAAAAATTGTCTGGAGTAGTGGGAATACTACTTGGAATTGCCGGGATGAACAACAGAGAAACATCAATAAGGTTACAAATCTACCACAAATGGGAAGTTCATCAATGGTCTTAAAGAAATTGGACGGAAATTGGAACAAGGATCGGCCGGGTAATTAATTATAAAGAGTGACGAATTCTGGCCTGCGCTTACACATTGTGAGGCCGGTTTCTACAACGCAAGGGAGCCGTCTTGCCATCGCGTCGTGTAGTTGCGTCGCCTTAGAAGAGGCTAGAGAGAAGCAGAAATGTGTGTCGTAAATAGTGAATCATAACAATTAGGAATGATCATGGAGATATTTCTATAAATTACTAATTGGGGACAGGTAGTTTCCGATTCGGAGTATTTCTTTCACAAAAATCCTCAACAATGCCAATCCTGTTGGCCTATTTTGGATCATAGGATAGAGGCAGCCGGCTACATTCAGAGCTGAGCGCGTAGTTTTACTACTATGGGGGGGGGGTGGTATAAAGGCGAATAAAAAATATCGCATGGCTAACCGCGATAAAATTGAAAGTGAACTTCTGGTCATAATCTTGAATTTCCAGGGAAAAAAAACAGGAGGCCTACCTCTCTCTCTGAGAGTCAACAGAGGGCGCTATTTCGGTCCGAGTTCGCACTGTTTTCTGTGTGTAAATGTACTTATGTACAGTATGTGCACGTACCTGTACTGTGCAGTGCTAGTAGTAGTACCACCTTAGCTGGAGTAGAGGAAAACTGCAACCGTTAAACCGCGGAGCAAGTCAAACTCACCGATACTCCTTTGGAATAAGGACAGCTTCTATTGAAATAGTAGACGATTCAAAGAAACACATTTTCCTCTAATCTGAAAGGTAAAAAATGAGACATTTCACTTGAATGTGTGTACCGTACCCACCTTTTTCGTTGAATGCGTTTTGCATCTCTCTCTATTTTTTGTATTGAAATACATGTGTTTTTCATGTTTCTTAACAAATTTGAATTTTAATCATAATGGAGGTAGCCCACGCATGTCAGTCTTTAAAATTAGACTGATGGGAATGTACAACTGTAAGCTATTTTCTGGCAAAATTCAGACCTTTTGAAAACACATTAAAACTAGGCCTAGTCTCATTGGGTTTGTGCACAGGGTGTCAAGTAATGTCCATGTAGTATATGGAACTCTACTTCGAGAACTCAAAGTAGCCTACGGTCATCACTTGCGTGTACTAATCCTGGTGTGCAAAACATTTAGATCTGTGCATGGTGTCTTACACCCATATAAAGGTGTATTAGGGGCTTGCATCTTAGTTTTAAAATATTGAGCAAAACAGACTGCTTTTTACAGCATGAATTCCATTTTTTGGTCATTTATTTTAATTGCCATTACACACAAACTACATGTATCCACTGTAAGATGTCTTAAATGAGGTATTACTCAACAATCCGCCCTGACCAGAAGTGCACCCTCACCAGCGAAAAAAGACAGATGGGACTAGGTTTTCCAACCAGATTCTTGCACGTATTCAGTGTGCACGCAAAATTCGACTAAATTCATTGTGAGTACTCGGTGTGCCCCGTGTCAAACGCGCTTATATAAACTTGCGCGCCTATGTAGTGAGTGCACACCAAACAACTGTCAATTTCATTTCAAAACACACCCTTTTGTTCCTGCTCAGAATGGATATCCATATTAATTATTATACCTGTACGTGTTCCAAGACTTGTAAAATCATGTATAGTAATCAAGATGTAATACCAAAATAAGCCATTTTCGAGTTAAATTTGAATAAAATCTGGTGCACTGCATTATCCGGTTGCACATACATGTGTAAATGTAACAATTTGAATTCTTCAGACTAAAGGCACTGTTGCTATACCTCGTGATTTGGGGCAAGCTTTCGCATAGCGACCATCATCTCTGGAATGGAATGGATCCTTGTGCCCTTCTTACATGTCTTATCCATCGAGAACAGTGTATTGGTAAAGGTATCTCTTATGTAACTAAGCAAAAGCATGCCCCGAATCATGAGGTATAGCAACAGTGTTTTTAGTCAGGAGAATTCAGGTCGTCATGTTCACGTGATTTTAAGAACTCGGTGTACCAGATTTTATTCAAATTCAACTTGCAAATGGCTTATTGTGGAGCTGGAGAAGGAATTTGCATCTTCATTTTAATTGCATTATCCAACAATCTCTATATTTTCATTTTTAGGAAATTGACATGAGATGTCTGTCAGTCTCTTTTTAATTTTTTTTTCTTTTGGGGAAGGGAGAGATCTGTCTCCCAAATTGCATTACTGCTTATACATTAAGCATTGGCAGGGAATCTATTTTACATATGTTTAGCTTTCAGGATTTTGAAAATCAGCAACGTTTCCAAAGTCTCTGTGACTCTCCTTTCACCCAGTAATTATTTAACTTAGCAAACACCATATTACCAGTAATCTTTGACCTTATTTCCCAATCATTCCTACTTTGGCGGAAGCCAACGAGAGCAATTGAGAAGTTTTCAAGCTTCAGTTGCCATTGAATATTGAGCATTTTGTATCACAGCTGTTAAGGGATTTTTATACATAGGGGAAGTGTAAAGGGGGTCAGGGTTAATACACAATCACTTTTCAAAAGTGCCAGGGGGACATAACCTGGATCACTATTTGCTAGTTGGAATTACAAAACCCCAATGACGTGGCATCTGAGGCCCAGAAAATTTCGGGTTGTTGATGTTTCTGACCTCTTTAACTATTTCTGTTCAGCAAATGCTTTTGCAAGATTTTTTTTTTCTAAATCTTTAGCTTTGAAAATTATACCTTACTTTGGAACCTTTCTGTCTGTCAAATGTTCCATGGAAGAAGGACACAATTTGTGTCTTTCCTCCATGGTCATTCCCACTTCTTCCATCCACAACAGGGAAACAATTGACAAATACAACTAATTTGAAATACGAATCAATTATAGGCCTACTCCCCTACAGCTTATTTAGGGTCCGGAAGAAGAGTGGAGGGGGGAGGACAAGCAATATGATCCCCCCACTTTAAAAAAGTGAGGGGGACATGTCCCCCATCTTCCACTGATAAGCAGTGTCCCTCGAGGATGACACACTGCTCATGTGTACCTGCTAGTGCAGATGTGGTAAGGAATACAGTATACACATGTACATGTATGTACATGTACATTGTAAATTACAAATGCATGTAAAGTGAGTGTACACCACCCAGAAGGGTTTAATTTTGCTGCCAGCGGCTAGTCTCTCTCTCCTGGCCTTTTCCGGGATGTGAGAATTCAGCTTTTATACATGTAGCTTATTTCAGCTTGTTTTGTTTTAGATGCTGCTGACTTTGAAGTTCAGCTTTTTGGTACACCCGGTCTGTGCAAAAGTACTGTATGGGAAGTTTTGTACATATCAGCTTTTTGCTACCTGTTTTTAGCTTTAGTTTGAAGTGGCTGCTCACAGCCCTGCTTTTGCACCCCATCATTGGACATTGTTGGCAGCCTGCTGCCTGCAACAGTTGATTGCCTTGGAAATTCATGTATTCAGGAATGACAAGCTTTGTGATGTACATGCAATCACATTAAACAGTGTACGTGTATAATTACATGGACACTGCACCCGAGTCATCAGTCATCAGGCGTGCTGCTGAGCTTATTAATGCAAACTAAAATGTTGAAGCAGCTTTTTTATTAAATGGTACCGATGCCTCGGTCATTAAGGTGGCCATTTACTTGCATAGACAACCATTATTTATTTGCAATGTTATTAAACTTTATGGAAGCCTTTAGTGACTCCTCATCAAACTGATGTTCATTTGTCATGTCTGTAATTAGATATACCTTGACAAAAATTCATTGTACAGCCAGCTGGAGTATTGTTAACAGTGCTTAACTCTTTGCAAGTGATCTCTGAAAGAGGTGACATTTGATGAGGGTACCCTTCAATTTGTTGATGCATACAGTATACATACCCCGATGCGTTCACATTGCATAATATATCTTCAACTGTGTAGTGTTGACATCTAGGATTTTCATTAAGTATTGTGCATGTATGTATGAGTGTGTACATGTACAATCACGCGCAGGGTGTTTGCTGCATGGGTTATGTGTCATCCATGCACACTGACACAATGGCTTGACTTTTAACCAGGACTTGTAGCTGGATCAGTGTTCAACTCATCAGCGGAAATTCAGATGGGTGAATTCCTCCTTGATCTTTGAACCACGTTTTCCGTCACATTTACTGTATAGATGTGAGTAAATTGAACTAACATGTATGGAGCCTGCACGTGTAGCCTTTCAGCATAATGAACCAGTATATGAGAATTTCTACATTACTTACGTAGGTTTACTGTACTACTAGGATTCTTGCAATGCAAACGGTCATTTTCTGTAGTATGTAAGTTTGGGATTCCTGTTCTGACCAGCTGAGGTCCTTTGTGTGATCAAATGGATCTTGCCTTGTAGAAGTCTTGTTAAACTCATTATCTGTTACATGAAATATTGACCTACTCAACAGAAATGTTTGTCAGCAATGCTCCAGTGTGTTCGTCATGGATTGCCAGTACTTCATCACATTTGCTGATGCGACACCAGTCTTACATGCTGCTCTGGCCGATCCAGCATAGAGAGACAGTTTCTCTTGTTATAGGACACTCGGTATTGAGTTGTGAAGAGCAAAATGTTGTCCCCATAAAGGCACATGGGTAGTCCCTTCAGCTATGGTGCCTAGTACATGTTGTATGTATGTACCTTGGAAAACAAAAATTGTGGACTCAATACCTGCAGTTACAAGTTGGTTCACATCAGCATGGGTCCATGGATATAACTTGTGAGCTCTCAAATCTAAACATTGACACAGTCCAAATTGAAATTTCATCTTGCATTTTAGAAGACACAGTGGTACTTGTTCATACTGATGACTGTAGTGAAGTGAATCTTGGCTAACTGTATGTATGTGTACATGAATTACATGCACTTCATCACAGGCAGTACGTGCTGGAAGCCAAACCCGGTGATCTGTCACCATTTTTGTGCCTGTTCCAAGCATCTGGTCAATGAATACCGTACTGGATAGGCTGACATAACTATTTTGTATACGTGTGAATATCTAATCAGCCATCAATAATTGCTGTGATTATGAATGAACAACCTATGGCCTTCAATGGCCTGATATGTGCTGTGTACACATTGCATGTGATTCACACCCAGGCGGCAGGTTAAAGGCAGGTCAGTCTTGATTTTTCTGTACCTTTTCGTCTGAATGCAGGAAGTGTATGCGCTGCATATTCGGAATGTCGTTGAACATTCCCAGTAGCCATACATTTTTGATGATATGTACAGTGCATTGGTGCAACTCAAATACATTATTTGTCGCTCTTGAGCAAGTCATGGACTCCCATGTTCACATGTTGATATATTAAGGAGGATGGAGCATGACTTGAATTATCGATGGGTTTCCCTAATCTTCCTGGTGAAAATTTTTCTTTTTTTGTCTTGGGCAGCAAGCACTGAATCACAAGCATTGGTGCATTTGTAAAGCACCATACCTGTATGCACATGTTGATGTACATGAACTCTAATCCATTAACGTGTGACTTTTTTCACCAGAAAGAAGTAATACACAGTTCACATCAAGTGTCCAGTTTTTGCTTGAGTTGACTACACAAGTTAACAAACCAGGCCTCTTTTTTCTCTCTCTCAGTCTAGACTGATGTCACTTTCCCTGCATTAGCTCTACTGTCAACCATGCCAGCCCTGGTGTTATTCAAACGACGCTGGCGCATTGGAAGCGATGACTTTGTCTTCCCGGGTATCTGGTCATTTGGCTTCAGAATTATATGGTGAGATACTCTCTGTAGCCTTTACACGGGAGGCATTTTTGTGTGGGTCACTTTTTCAAGAGTCAAGCCCTGTGTAGTAACCTATTTTTACAGTAATGTATCATTCTTGGTATTTGAGCAGAATTTTGATAAACCCTAAAAGAGCTTTTGGGGGTTAGAATCTGGCCCCCCTTGAGATTTTTTCCAATATCACCACAATACTTTTTTTTCTGGAGTTAAGCCTTTAGGAGTTTTAAGAGTGACTCGTTGCAGTCATTTTACGACCAACTTTGTGAAAATCAAACATGCTGTTCTTGTGCAGTGCCCGTTTTTCTGAGATAGATCAGCCAAGTATGTATACTTTTTCCACTGCGGTGCTCAATGCACGAGGGCTGGTACGTATGTAGCCTTGAACCTCAAATGACAATATCAACAAATCCATACATTTGTTCGAGCTCAAACTTCACATTTGTAGTGATAAGGAGTGTCTTTACATGTATGCAAAGTTTCCAAAAATTGATTGCGGGAAAGCCAAGTTCATAGGAGGGCAGAATCTCCCTGGCTGTGAGATGGGCCAAAATATCCCAGCTCTTTCAAGATTAAGTTTTTTTTGGAAGGGAGGAGGGAGTCAGGTGGGCATAGTTGCTCTTTCCTCAGTGGCCTTCCACCTCTGTGGTCCGGGTTCGAATCCCTAGTCCACATGTGGATTGTGTTTTCAGTCCCTACCTGATTCCATGGGTTTTACCCAGAATGCATGTATTCTCCTTAAGTTTTCCTCCCACCTCTAAAACTGTAACTGCTTCTATTTGTCTCCTCTGTACAGCTTTCTTCAGGCCTCAGAGCTACGGTGCCGAGGGTGCTTTTTAGGAATCCTTGGTGTCATTACCAGAAATAAATAATAGTAATAAAGCACCATGGAAAGCAGTAGGGGTCTGCCATCCTGAATGCATCAAAGCACAATTGGAAAACCTTCCGGAGAAAATGTTCCATCTAAAGCAAGCGAGGGAGTTGTTCTTACTCTCAGAGTAACGGTTCTCTGACCATTCATTCTTGTTTCTTCCCCCACAGGCTGATAGCGGTCTTTGTCGTGTACTCGTCCCGTGTGTCCTTGCTGGACTGTCTGGGGATGGACCTCCTGCAGACTTACCTGATTGGCCTGATCACCATCCTGATAATCACCATACTAGTGGAGTTCATAATCGTGTATGTGAGTGCTCAGGGATCGATATTGAATTCCACACCGAGGCGCCATTTACCACTGGTAAGAACCCTGATGAGGCAGTCTGGTATTTCAACAAGGCAAGGCCATTAGAGAACAAAGCATGCACGCCAGTTTGCGTATGGCCGCATTGAGAGGGCCGACCTTGCTCGGGCATATTGCCCGTTCCTGAATGTCTCAGATGTGCTTCATTTTGGGCATGCGCAGTTTGAATGCTGAACTAACGCATAATGTAGCTTAGAAAAACATGAAAATATTGGTGGGGTTGTTTCGTATGTGTGCGGAGTTATAAGAGATCCCACATGGTGCATGTGGTATCCCTGGTTTAAGGGTAGGACGTGTTTACATGTTTAAATGAAAAAAGTTCCAAATCCATTCACATATTTTCCCAAGCATTTAAACAGAACTGCCCCTTTTAGAAATTTGACATTTTGATTGATGCAATCAGGCATTCATTTTTATTATAAATGATTCCTGTTACAAAGTGGGTTTTTTTCCCCTTTCGGCACCCATTTACTTTTTGGAGAAAAAAAAAGTGAATTCTTAAACAGTAAATATTGTTTGTTTTAAATGCCCCAACATCAACCTACATTTTTACATAGATTGGACCATGTGCATCGTTGAACTATATAATTATGCATATGTGAAAACACCGAGGTAGGCGGCGACGGCCTCTATAAAGTGTTTGCTAAACATTTAAACGGTATGGGAAGATTTTGTAAACGTTTCTCAAATTAAACATAAATTCCCACCCTTACCCTGGTTCCAGTTGAAAACTACTCTATGTCATACATTTCACATACAATGTATGTTGGTTCCTTCAACAAAGCAACACTGATGCTCCTTTATGTCAAACCTCAAAAGTGTTTTGTCGGTCTTTCAAACATCCATGTTAGCTTTGTTGTGTTTTGTATCCTGTGAATGAAGTACTATACCCCACTACTCATTTGCAATTTGAAAATATATTGTTTCTTTTGAAAAGGTCATCGTTAGTCCTCATTATCCTAAGATTCTTTTCATTGTCCTCGATAATAAACAACGGTGATAAACTAAAAAAAAAGCATACAAGGCACTTTCTTTCCTGGTGTAAATTGAGGAAACAATATGCAATCTAACACTTGGCTCCCCTACTTTATCTACTAAGCAGATCTTTACTTAAGATTATGTCCAGCGCCCTAGGGTTTGAACACTGTGAGGTGGGTGGAAAACAGCCTGCGAGCTTCTGCACCTCAAGAGAAGACTTTAAGGAAAAGTCTGCAATCTGACACATTCCTTCTCCCCACCTCCAACAGTTCCTGTACTTGCGAGTCTTTGTATTCCTGGTGGAGATTGTCTTCAGCATTGTGGGTGCCATCTGGACATTCCGGGAGTGGGAGTTTGACAAGTCACGCAGCTGTGACCGGGGCGTGGTGCATCTGGTGCAGGCAGCCGTCATCACGAGCTGGCTCGTCTTCATCGCTGTCATCATCGCCGTGCTGGTCCTCCTCAATCCCTGGCACCATGACGAGGAGGAGGAGAGGAGAGATCATGAGGGAGAGCATACTGTGGATCCTAACATCCAGCTCCAGTGGGAACAGAGGTAACTTTCGACACTCACTCCCATTGTCTCAACGTGGCCAGTTTGTGTGGCTGCTGTTGATTGCCCAGTGCATCAAGGTGCAGTAAACTCCGGCCTAAGTCGCCACCCTCGGGACTCAAGAAATTATGACGACTTACGCGAAAGCCGACTTGTGCTGTAGGTTGTCATTTTGCTGACTTACACGTACACATGTATTGCCTATGTACATTATGATACCTTGCTCTAATTCAATGGCTTTGATTTACCCTGGTTTAGTTCTACCTCCATGGTCGATCCAAGCAAATTCGTTCTCGATTGTTATCCTCACAGGCTGCAAATTCGATAATTGATCATGTGCCCCTAAGGACGAAGCAAGCCACTTGCATATCACATCATGACTCGACAGTGCAGTACGTACATGTACGCGATACAGTTATCATAACCTTCCATTCTTTCACCCTCAGAGCTGTCACAATGTGCTGCAATCTAAATTTCCAGCTGTCAGGCGTTGACTGCCAAAGCTCTCCCTTAATGGACTGTTCAATGGAATTCAAATGTCCAATATCACCAACAGTAGCTTGGCGCAGTTCCCCTCGGTTAAACTGGAGTTTGTGTCTTTCAGATGCAAAATGCTGTGTTGCTGTGCAGGAAAGGATGCCAACTCACAGGTGGCCTATGCAGAGGTAGCAGCCATCCTCTCCAAATTTTTCCATGTAAGTCTCTGACTACCTTCACTGTGCAGGTCTAGGGCGTTCTCCAATCCTTGGGCTCTTTTCCTGTCTAGTTGTATTTTGTAGTAGCAGTGTAAGCACGAAATTTTAATCATAAGCACAAATTCTGTTGTAGGCGTTGACATAGAAATAAACCCAGACTGGATATGTCCTATGCATTGCGTAGGAGCAAAGGCTGAGCCTGTTTTGAGTGCATTCAATCCTGGAAGTTTCAGTGCGTTTGCTGGACATGCATGGATGCATATACCTTAATCTTCATAGGGGTACGTCACGTCATTCAGTACGCAGTAAAAAGTGGGCGTCGTATTTGTGTCCAGGTTTTATTCAGATGTCTGTGGTAGAGGGATGCAATCAGGCACTCATCTTGGTTCTCTCCCTAGGGTCTGGACATCGTGCCTTCGGATATCGTGGCTGGCCTCATCCTGATGCAGCTGGAGCAGGAGCGGCTGATGCGGGAGGGGGAGCAGCCACGGCTGACCCGCCCCAGCGGACCCTGCCTCCCAGCCCCCTCCAGACCAGCCCTGGAGGAGGTCCCCTTGGCCCTGCACTACCTCCGCTTTGCCAGTAGTGCCTACGGCTGGAAGATGTTCCTCTACAGCAACCTGTGCTGTGGCACCTGTAAACTCTGTGGTCACTACAGGTGGGTCCACATAGCCACTCAGCTGGCCATTCAACTGACATGTACATGCAAATACTCAGATGTTACGGAACTTGAAGCAGACCAAGGGTTAAAATTGTCTAGGCCTTCATGTCTGTTTTTCCCAACCCATCAAAGGTGCTGTGTAATTTTTTCCCTGGACATCAAGATCAAGAAATTATACTCTGTTTTCTGACTTGGCAAGATGGTATGCTTATCAAGAATGCTTTCAGATTGAAGTGGGGGTTCAGTTTTTAAATGTGTAAATTTTACCATGCCAAATTATATGTTCATAGCAAGAATGCCTTGGCTTTTCCCTCTCATAGAAATATCACGACTGCAGCATTCCCAATCAGAAAAACCTGGCCTTAGTTTACAGCCCTATGCTTTGCAAATTCATTTATAGCACATGCGGCTTAGAAATCGGACAGAACATGTCCGAGTTTTCATTTGATGTTATTCTGAGAGAAGACCATTTAACTTCATCCAAATTTGGTGCTGCTTTAAATTTCCTAGAGGAAGATGAAGTCCAACCCTTTGTGTTGTTGTAGAAGAGTGTGGCAGCATTTTATTTACGTTGTGTATTTGGTCAGCAAGAGATGATCACATTGCTAGTCATTCATGTTGAAACTGCGTTAAACGAGAATGCTGCATTTGCTTTTCTTTGCTTGTAGAAGGCCAAGCCTGATGGCATTCACCATGTTTTTGTTGAACATTTTGAAGCAGACTATCAGGTGTTTTGCATGGTTACATTTGTTTCGATGAGCAAAATCATGTTTTTTTCTGGTTGCCCTTTTTTTTGGCCTGTAAATCATTTTCATTGCTGATGTGCTTGCTCTTCGATAATCAATGCTCACAGATTTGTGCTCTTGCGTTTCCATATCTTTTTGTCACAAAGGAATGGTCAAACAATGTAAGTATGCCAACATGTTTGTATGTCTGTGTTAGCAACATAACTAAAACATCTCACCTTGAGTAGTTTGATAGTCGTTTAGCAAAGTTTTGTGGTGGTGGGCATTCTTATTTTGCTTGTAGAAGAATAAATGGAGTGCCCGTAGATTTCATAATGTCATTGCAACCAGTGCTTCGTTTGTTGGTCACTTTGTATATGTAGATGGCTAAAGATGTTTTTTGTGTTGGTGCAGGGTTCCATGGCTTTAGATTTGTCCTTTTTAATATTTGCAAAGACCATGAAGGCTGTGATGTATTCAGTAGTGCTGTGTGTATGCTATTCTCACGTACTTTCAACAGTGAAACGTACGGTACATGTACATGGGGATTGCCAGTGCTGGCATGAGCATATAGCATTCATGAGTGCGTCCAGAGCCCATCAAAAATTCTTGGAAGACTTACAAACTTGACAGGTAAACCAGTGCTGCATTCCAGTCCATCACAGGTCTGTTCACAACCCTAGTCATACAGGATGAGCAGTGACAAAGGAGTGCTTTTCCCCAGTTCATTTGAGTACAGGGTAGCTTGTCATTCAGCTTGAAAATTGGATAATTTTGTGATATGGACTTGTGACAGACTCGACTGCAGCACTGCAGGCAACTGACCCTCATGTTTGTGCGTGTGTGCTTTGTGACCTCTTTTACTTTCAACCCTGTCTTGTAAGCTTGTACTTCTTCACAAAATGCAAACGACACCTGGCTTTAGCAAGCCCTAACCTGAACCTAGAGGCAGCGTACAATTGTAATGTCACAACGGTCCAGAATTTCTGCCTGGATTTGAAGTTCCGATATAATACTATATAGATTGCAAAGACCTCAGAGGAGTATGCTGGAGTCCAGGGTCAGGTCATGTCCAAATGCTGTATCATATGGCTGAGGCTAAGGTTTTTGCCATACATGTAGGTGCACCATAGAGAAAAGCAGCAGTCCTTGACAGCTATGCCCTATTCAGTCATAGCCTGATGAAGTCTTGAGGCTGAACTTGGGGGTGGGAGCAATATCTGCATTTAAGCCTATTTTTTTCATTTATGTACTTGGCTATATGTTTAAAGGAAATTCTGCTTTCCAGTTGGCTAATTGTACTGGTATGCTTTCCAGTTGGCTAATTGTACACATCAGACAAAGTTTAGCCATATGCACAATTTTGTAGCCACTTACTTTTTTTTAACTACCCAAAACCTGCCATACTCCAACAGCAGGTTTTGTGAGGTTTTGGCAGGTTTGGTACTGTACCCGAGGAACTTCTTGTTGAATTTTGTGAGACTTGGGATGAAAGGCCCAGGGAGATGGTGCTGGATTCTGTGTGAGTTGGGACACACACAGGTCACTGTGTGCAGTGTCTGGCTTGCTGTACCAATTGTTGGACTGTGCTTGATTTTGTCAGGTTTGGTACTATTCAGTGCAAGTCATCCTATACTGCACAGACCCATCCATACCATATCACTCAAACTCCAACGGGCTCATTCTGTTGGAGTTTATCAGGTTTGGTGCAGTAACCTGCATGTACAAGTACATAGACAAGTACATGAACCTGTCGGATTTTGTGAGGTTCAGTATGCTTCCTAGTGCAGGAGCCTAGGGGGTTAGGGTTAAGGCAGTGGCAAATACAACTTTTTTCTTGCCAGTATGGGTGGGCGATTCACAACAGTCACTCAGGACTGACATCTGAAACCTTGAGTTTTGCCATTGTCACTCAGGACTGACAGCTGAAACCTTGAGTTTTTGCCATCGTCACTCAGGACTGACAGGTGAAACCTTGAGTTTTTGCCATTGTCACTCAGGACTGACAGGTGAAACCTTGAGTTTTTGCCATTGTCACTCAGGACTGACAGGTGAAACCTTGAGTTTTTACCACTGTCACTCAGGACTTTGACTAGAATTTTACCTCGCTGCTGTGAGAGGTGTTTGGACCATGGTGTTGCTCTTCACTTGCCATTGTTTCTTACTGAACTTCGGCAAACTGTCACTTCTCCAGGTGCTGTGAATGTTTCCGTGGAGATCACGGCACAGAGAGTGACAATTGCTGTAACTGCAACACAGCTGCCATCAAGCACGTCACACGGCTGGATAAAGAGGACATTGTTTATATTAGCTTTCATAACAGAGTAAGTGACAAAGAAATACCTGTTGATTCTTCTTTGCATAAAGGGTACCACAGTGTCTCCAAAGATACTGTAGGTGTCTTTTATGTTGAAAAGATATGCACAGAATTTTATATTTTGAACTGTTGGAATTCATTGATGTTTGATCCAATGTAAATTAGGGAAAAAAGTATTAATCTCAATCAACACAGATCTTTCAATGTCTACCTGTAATGGTTTTTATTGAGGACATGTTACATTCAAGTTAAATGGGGCTTGATGATACCCCGGTTTTAGCAGAAAGATTGTCCGTAATAATAATAATAGTCAGTTCTTATATCACGGGATGTCTCTTTGTGTCTCTATCATTATCTCTGCACATAATTGAAGGCAAAATGATTTCTGAAGATTTGGAAAGTTCAATTCCAATGTCAGTTTACTTCAAAATCATGCAGACTGATTGGTTGCTATGAAAATGGCTTACCTATTAACCTGTATTTATGAAATAATAAAATCCAGCTTTTATTTTGTGTCATTTATTTGAAGATTTCAACCCTAACACTCCTCAGTCCTCCAACAGGTGAAGGATTGAGGACTGTTAGGGTTAATACTGAATATATCCTGGTAACTTTCAACTGACTTGTCATGCCTTTCCTCAGATATATGAGATTCCATTTTTCGTTGCCTTGGATCATCAAACTCAGTCTGTAGTGGTAACCATCAGAGGATCGTTGTCATTTAGGGTGAGTTCAAACAAAAGAAACAAAAACCGTAACATTAAGCCTCCTATGCTGAAGTCACTCTTTGGGTCATTTGGTAAACACCTCAAAGAAGCACAGCTGTGTCGTGTTGTGCACTGCACCAACTGTCCCTCACAGGAATATCAGATTGCATTTTTGTGCTGCCCAACAACTGTGCTTCACTGTTTCATGTGTGTCATTGTGCAGTAAACCAAATGCAGTGAAGAGGACTGCACAAAAGACCCTTGGTCATTTTGTGCTGACAACCTACAGTGTACACACTGAACCTGTGCATGTTTGAGTTCCATATAGAAACTACATGCTTACCAGTGACTGTGGGCATTTGTGCACATTTGTGCTGTAAAACCAAAGGAGGGTTAAGCCTCAAATTGATTCTTTGAAAATTTGTTTCTAACTTATGTTTTAAGTTGAGGCTACTTTTCTCCTCAAAGATGTTCTGATATGTCGTAGTACACAAAAAGGCAGAATGTAATGAATTTCCCCTCTGGCTAAACCTTATTGAGTTTTAAAAAATTTAGGGTTTTTGTTTGGTTGATCTTTCCTGGCACAAGAGCTGTGTCATTGTTAGTCAGCCCCCCCCCCGATCTGTTTGCGGTGAGCCCTATTCAAATTAGTTATTATCATTTGTGGCTAGGCTACAGTGGCTAGGCTAGGCTACAGCATACCAGTGGTGGAACTGGACATGCAGCCCCAGAAAGCCTGATTCTGACATGCCCTTCTCCGGGTGGTACTGCCCTCTGCGGTGCTCACACCAAGACATTAGAAATTCTACTGGGCTTTTGCTCATCACTTTGAATTGTCCCCTGACAGGACGCCCTGACAGATGCCACAGCCGAGTCCATGAAATTGGATGTGGAGGGGGCAGAGATATACGCCCACAAGGGCATCGCGCGGACGGCCATGTACATCCGGGACAAGCTGGAGAAAGAGCACATACTGGAGAAAGCATTTGAGAGAGCGCCGGTAGGTGGAAAGGTGTGGCTTGATGAACAAAAGGGGTGGGACTCATCCCACTGAAATTCGAAAAAAGTTTCGCACATGAAAAAAAAAATTGTCTTCCGTCCCCTAAGTTTTCTTTTACAGCTTCAGCTTTTGTTCCCACTTGTTGTGTTTAACAAACGATATTACTCTTGATTTTGATCACCGTAGAGTATCGAAATATGATGTCATTCAGACCTAGTAAATGGGGTACACACAAATGGAGAGCACGCCCTCATTGGTTCCCGCGCTGACTCTCACACTAATGCCTTTTACACATCATTGTAATATATTATTCACGTCTGCATTCTACAGTAATCCATCCTTGTTTGTCTTCTCCTTTTTCTACTAGGATTACAAACTAGTGATAGCAGGCCACAGCTTGGGAGCTGGTGCTGGAAGCATCCTGGCAATTTTACTATGCAACACTTGGCCTGGCCTGAAATGCTATGCTTTTGCCCCACCCGGTGGGCTTCTCAGGTAAAGAAAACAATTGTTTTCACTCCTCTTTGATCACTACAGTTTTTTTTTTGTGCTGGAGAAAGATCAGGCAAAATCTGAACATTTTGACCGACTTTGAATTCACAGAACTCATAATAAGTTTTCAGTGAATTTGAAGGTAAAATTTAACAAGTATTATGCCAGGTCTTTCCTTATTTAGGAAAAACTTAGAGAACTTAGAACTTGGTTGGTGAATAGATAAGATTCTTAGAAAATTTCTAAGAAATTCCAGTGATGAATTGAATATGGATTCTGTCATTCCCTACCCAAGGAGGCATCACACAAGTGATCCCTTTTTGTGTCACGTTCATTCTGTGTACATTTGTATCTGCCATTTCTTTGCTTTATTTTCCACCACAGTGCGGAGGGTGTAATCTACACAGCAGATTTTGTGGTATCCGTTTTACTTGGGGAAGATCTTGTGCCAAGGTATTGACAGCCCATTTCAACACGTCAAATGCTTTGAAAATATTTCAACTTGATGTTCGCTGTGCCATAGGCTTAATTCTTTGCCTGAAATACAGTGGCATTGTCCCCATTGGTTGTCACAAAGTGAACATCTTCTTTCCTTTCTCTTCAGGTTAGCCTTGGGTACCCTCGAGGAACTCAAAACCAGTATGATCAACATTGTCAAAAGAACTGACAGACCAAAGGTAAGTCCGGAAGTAGATTGTCCTCCTTATGAAGCACTTTATTGTGGATTTTTACATGAAATTTCTTTTATTTAAAGTATAAAATGTTTAATAAAATGATTGTTTATGGAATGCCACACTATGATGAAGGGACCAGTGCAAATGCTGTGCTCGATCATGAATATATTTGAGGTATTGTAACATGGAATGTCGGAATGCTGTCTTTACAAACTAATAATCGGCAAATTGTCTCCTTCCACGTCTTCAGTATCAAACCCTCCTGGGGGGCTGTTGGTGGACACTCTGCGGCTTCCCAGAAACCCTCCCTCACACCTCAGACTCCGGCGACGATCATCTGACCGAGGACCCCGAGAGTCGACAGCCCCTCATCAACAGCCAATCCGCCCCTAAGCCCCGGCCCAACTACACGGGAGCGACAGCTTCGGGGGAGGGCAGCAATGGAGGGACGGCCGCCGGGGATCAGCTGGATGTGGCAGGGAATAGGATCGAGTTGTACCCACCAGGCAGAATACTGTGGGTGACAGAGGATAGTAGACCGTCCAGGTAAAGGCTAACATCTTTTTTTTAAAGGTCGCACTGCTCAGTAGCCCTACCATGCATTGGCCTACTGTCTTCGTGTTTTTATTTTGGAATGGGGCTGTAGCTTAGTCTATCTCCCGATCATCTTTTTATCTACCTTCATTTCTAAGTAAAATGATTCTGAAACCGTAAAATTAATTATCTTTGTGGAATTCTTCACTTGGACAGTGGCGTAACTAGGGTAAAATTTCTCAGGGGCACCCGGGGATGTGTACATTTTTTCAGGGGGCACTGGAGCCGATGAACTCCAGCTTGAATGAAGGTCGTGTATGTTTCCAAATTTCAAGTGGGGGCTCCAGGGGAGGGGGGGGAGGTACACATGCCACCCCTCCCCCCATGATTGTAGACATGACCACTACCCTTGGATAATCTTTTTACTTCTCTTTTGGATGTTTCCTCCTTTTATCCCATCCCAGGAGATCTCTCTGCTACCAACCCTCTTACAAAATCAAGTGGGCAACGTGCCAGGACTTCCAACACATCATAGTCAGTCCAGCCATGGTAGCCGACCACATACCGCACAAGCTGATCCGAGCACTGGAGGAGATGGACGAAACATGCTGCGTGGGGCTTGACTCCAATGACCATCCGGTATGATGAAGGACCAATGCCCTAGTGTCAGTGAGTGTGTGGTTTTTACTGATTAATGCTATGTACAGAATTCCCCAGAGTAAGGTATTCAATGTAAATGGAATCATTTTTTTTTTAGGATGACAGTGCAATAGCAGTGATGTTGGTATTAGATTGCTAATATCTAACTTAGTACATCCCCTGTTATACCGTGGTAGAAGTTGCTAACGTTGAAGTCCTTCATTGTCCTCTTTGACTTTGGAAGTCAAATAAGATGATTTGAAAGTGAAACGGAATGCTCGGGATGATATCAGTGTGTAAGATTTCTCGAGATGTTGTTAGAACGGGATATAGTGTACCTGAGGGTTCACTTCTCAGACTAACCATTTCTCACTGCTAAGGGGAACTGCTTTCAGTGTCCATTTTGTACTCTTATTCTTACCACTTGGTAATATTTTTATGTGGATTATAAACAGGTGCGCTTTGAGGTGCAATGTTAAGTCACCAGCCACCAAGTTCCCGTAGTTACTGAGAAGAACCACAAGTTATTTGAGATGGTGACCTGTGTTTTCTTGAGTACTATTATGAATCCAACGATGGAAACCGTGTCATGTGACTCGCAGCATTCATTTTATTACTTGAAAGTTATGAGGGAAAACAGCCAGTTTTAAACTCTAAATTGAAAATTTTATCGGGCCTTTTAAAACCACCATTGTCTGAAAACCTGAATACAGTGTGAAGGTTACTTTAAATACTGGTGAACATTTGTTGATATTTCAAAGTCATTTCAGTCGAGCCAAAATGTCCTAGTTTTCCCTTCTTATACAATGACCTTGTCTCAAGATATCAGGAACTTTTACAAGACTCATAAGTTTAGCAATTTAGAAAGTGGATATCAGGTTTTACCTTGCTATGGAATGACAAGTCATATCCAGATGAAGGCAGTGATGAATTTTAGATAAAACTGTTTTCTTTCTTGATTTTTAATTTCAGAAGCAACTCTGACCGGCAAAATAGCAGATTCGCATGTGAAATCAGTGCGTCACCAACATCGTAATAATGTCACAGAAACATGTTTATTATAATTATCTTTTGTACGTTCCGTTGCTTCCTTCAGTGTGCAGCAGGGTACTACAAAAGAGATACTGATGCACTGCTAATGTAACACAAAATAGATTAACCCTAACCTTCCCCAATCTGTGGGGATAGGTCTGGTAGGCCCAGACAGCTGGCTTTTGCATTGGGTTTGACATACCTCAGAAAAATAAAGTCCAACAGCCTCTGTACACAAAGTCCCATATGGGTGTTTAACTTTTTGTGAACAGGGAAGGTTAGGTCCAGCAACCCTTGGGCAGTTAGGGTTAACTGTCTATGTTTGAAATGTTCTTGTACATGTACATCCAAAACATGTAGTAAATTTGTTGACCATTGTGAGGAATGAATTGGCACCGAGGACAATGTTAGACCTACTTGTACGATTTTTTGGGGGGGGTGTGACCAATAACAAGGAGGAGCTGCTTAACCCCTTCATGCCGGCAATTTCTTTTGACTGTGACTGCTGGGCTGTGGTATGCCCTGAATGAAGGGCTTTGTCCATCAGCAGGCCCCATTGAACCAGCAGCTGCATGGTGAATAGACTGTATGTGTGGTATACACGAATCCTCACACAAAGCTGTGGCTCTTGCCATCTCCTGGAGCGAAGGGGTTAATAGTTCCAGGTTAGTTTCATTTTTAATGCTTGCTTTCTGGTGTAGTTTTTCTGACTGCAAACCTTTGACTGAGTTGTCACTGATTGCTGCTGATATGAAATACAATATCCCCTCTCAAATCTTACAAGAATGTGAGAGGCTGTGTTTTTAAATTTTTATTCAGCCAAATTACTTGCCACTTTATCACGATCCCATGAGCAGAATGCTGTTCCAAATCGGGGTTACACTTACACATGAAAAGAAAGAACATGTTTGAAAAGGGCTGGGATTTTCTACTATTTGCAGAATGTGTTTATTTGCAAATAAAGATAAAATATTGGTGTCTCACTATTTGACAGTCCTGGCTATCTTAAACCGATTCCTCTTCACAGAAATATAATTATGTAGCATTACGAGATCGTAATCCATGATGTTGTCTTTATCTTGCTTGTGGTGTATTTATTTTGGCACAGTTTCTTTGCTTGCTTTCCGCACTTTTTGTCTGTATGAAGTAAAGCCTATATTTTATGTCTATTAAGCTGTTGCTGTACAAATGAAGTTTCTGTTTGAGGTCATTTAAATTTTGTCAGTACGCGTTTATGTATTTTACAAAGAGTTAGAGTTTTCAGTTCTAGTACATGCCTGTTTTGTTGGTTTTGACACTTGAAATTCTGGACATACCCAGAAATCTTCATGTTTGTTTGTGGCAGCTGGGGAATTCACCACCCACATTCACAAATTGCAGTCACTCGTCATGGACTCGTCTTTTTTACTCTGATACATCTCTCAATTGTCCCCCAACCTCCTCGTGTCAGGATTTGTCACGTTGATGTTGTTGGGAATGTTCATCCTCTTTTAGTATTCAGACAGTGCTGCCTTGGGGATAGGGATTCAGTCACTGTAAAAAATGACAGGCTGTTCATGTCATTTGATGAGTGGACTAGCAAGCTACAGTTGGCTTTAAATCAATCAATGTTACCCCATCAATGAAAAGAAATTCCATAGTCAGATTTGTCATTTTTTGTGCATTTTATCATTATTGAATATATATTTATCTGCAGCATTTATGAAAAATAGACAAAATGTAACCAAGAGTAATCAAGAAGAATCATTCATATCGATTTATCTGTTTTTATTCTACAAAAACATTTGGTTGTGTCATACAAAAATATGAAAGATGACTTTGAAAGTACTAAGCACCTTGTTTGCAATAAACATTTGTAAATGCATAGGTTAAAGCAGCATTTATTAGCCAAATATTTGCATATTTTCTTGAATCAGCTCTTTAGAGTGATTCTTGTTTTTGTATATGTTGTGAAAAGCCAAAGGTTGTGTGTAAAGACGGGATGTGTGCATAGTAATGGACTGAAATTTTGGCAGATTATGGTTGAAGCCAAGCTGCTTGTAGGTATTACCCGTAGAATGGTTGCATTCTAAGTGATTTTCCATCAGAAATTTCATTTCTTATTAATATTAGCCTGTAACTGGTTTGGATAGTTTAATAGATTTTACAGACAGATTTTGATAATTTTTAAAATAGAAAAATGCTTTCAGTTTCAAGTTAATGAAGGAATAACGTAAGCAGTAGCTGAACTGCATGTAGTTCGTCATACAAAACTGAGACTCTGAAATAATTACTGGCTTTGGATCATGTGTAACTTGATTACATTTGTTCAACTGGAAATAAAATGGTTTTCCAACAGTTGAAGAATTTGGTTTTGATTTTAACTCTTAAATTTAATATTCAATTCCGTGGAATCTTTTCCGTAACAGACTTTAAAATCAAAAGAGCTTCATATTCTTTGTAGCTGTGTAAAATTGAAATAAAAAAAACAAATGACATGTTCTTCATCCATCCGTGAGATAAGTGTCCTACTTTGGCAGTAAAATGCTATCAACAGAAACTAACACCACGTTGTCACCCCTGATGAAGAGCTGATTAACGTGCCGCCTTTGGAACTCCTCAGCTTTTATCTGAAGTCGACCCTTCTTAATCTTAACCCCAACAGCAGCACTGTCTTTTTTTTCAATAGGTTTGACCTTTGAATTCGTGTCAGTGCTGGTAGAGTGACTTGGTTGATCTCTGGTTTCACCAGCCAAGTTGAAGTTGTCTTTCCTGTCACCTTTGGCTCTTTGACCTGACTCTTGACCTTGAACCTCTTTTGGCCCCTCAGCTGATGTTCTAACCTGCTCAGGATGCTGGGAAATCCTGTCTTGTGATCTGCTATCTCTTCTTGTAGTTCTTATCACTCCTCTTACTTCATCTACCTCTTTGAGTTGAGCACTCCCCTCTGTTTTAACTTCAGAAGAGGAACCGAAGTCGTGCACTGCCGCCAGGTGTTCTGAGATTCCTGTGTCACCTGCCTTCTCGTCATCTGCAGACAGTGACGTCAATTCTCTCTGCAGGGCAGCGAGACGTTGCTGCAAATCTTCAATGTCTTCATCGTCACTTCTTCCTTTGTCTGGCTCCGGGGATGATTTTTTAGTTCGCTCTTTGGTCCCTGGTGAATTCCTGTGTGACGATTTCTGCCTTTCCTTCCCCTCTCTAGTCTTGGATGGCCTCTCCTCTTTCTGTCTATGCTGCCGCAAACCTCTGTGTTTGCTTTTCTCGGAACGGCGTCCATCCTCCTGATGAGATTCTGAAGGTACATCTTTTGCAGAGTGTCTTCTGTCTTCACGTTCAAGTACTGACGAGGAATCTTTTGTGTGCTTGTCCTGATAAAGGTGTTCAGATGTCTGAGGTTTCTTTTGGGAACTGGTTCCTGCTTCTTTCAGCTGGGCTATCTCTTTTGTTTCCTTTGTTCCTGATTTATCCATTTGTCCTGAATCTGCAGACTCCAGTGTCCTGGAACAGTCCATAATCTGCAAGAAAAATATCTAATTGAATCTCAAACATCAACTGCAAATATTACTTCTTTTTCAGAACACACAATCCAAATGTCAAAATGAATTTTATGAGGTTTGCTAAAATGAACATTTACTTGAAAGAGTGTTCAAAGTTGTTCCACCCTAAAATAAATCTTTTATGACTACAACTATACCTTGGAGAAAGTGACTGTCTCCTCATGGTAGAATCGTTGGCCCGTAGAAAGCCGTCTCCACACCTCGTCCACATCTGTCAGAGCCTTGGCAATGTGGAAGAAAATGGGCCAAGCGGCCAATATCAGGTCAGTACAGATTATCCTTGAGCTCAGAACTCACATCCTGAGGCTAATTTTTACGGAGGTGTTAAGGCCAGTTTCATACTCAGAGAAGTTGTGACATCAGATCAAACGTGTGCTGTGAGTTTGCCAAAGTTGAGCACATTCAACTCCAGTAAATTTGGCCCAAAATGTTTTGTGACGTCAAACTTGCTCCGCCTTCACGTTCATCTGAAATAGGCACCACCCTTACGGCACACACATTTGAGGATCTAAAAAAAGTTCTGATCAGCACAAATAGCCATGCATGTACATGTAGTTGTAATAAGAGGTTACCACCTTAAAAGACCTGTGACAAGCAATCAATTATCACTGGTTCCCAAGCATTGCCAGGTAGCTTTCGTTGTGAAAATGAGGCGGAAGTTACTTGGGCCACTTTGGAGTTACTGGCCTTTGTTGTGAAAATGAGACGGAAGTTACTTGGGCCACTTTGGAGTTTCTGGCCTAAATAAGAATCTTGCACAATGTAAAGGCCAGTTTATACTTCAGGTGAATGTGAAAGCAAAGCGAATTTGACGTCACAAAAGATTTGCAGCGAAAGTTTGGTCGAGTTGAAATATGTTCAATTTTTTGTGATTTTGTAATGCCAATAATTGATCTAACGTCAGAAATTCGTGTTCGTTTTCGCTTTCACACAAAGTATGAACTCGGGGGGGGTACCAGCATCAATTTACAACTTGTTACTTGTTTGCCAACCTCATGTCATGTAACATTCACAAAGTGATCCGTGGGATGCTACATTTCATGCTTCAGGGGAAATGCTGATGGCCAACGTATATCATTTATGTACTACATGTACATGTAAGTTTGGATTCATTTGCCGATCGGAACTCTAGTTTCCAACAGGAATTAATTACTGGAGGGTGTTGCACCCCCCCCAGCACACCCCCTGTTGCTATGCCCCTGCGTGCACCACTTGGCTTTTACATGTACATGTACCATGTTGAAGAACTTGTCGAAAGTGACCAAGTAGCCGGTGCAGATACTGCGCAGTCCCTTGAATGACCTGGTGCACACGCGCACCTTACAGCGCTCATTCATGCAACGATACAGCATGGACAGAGGCCCAGAGGAATATTCTGTGGATGACAATCACAGAAACTTTTCATGGTGAACATGTAATTGACACTCGTGGTAAAAGAAATTTGGGAAATATTAAGTTATACATATGTATATTTTGTCAGAATTATCCTCTGTAGACAGACTTTAACATGATTTATTCCCTACAACACTGTGGATTAAATGTCTTCAAGAAAATAATTACTTTCATTAACAAGGTTTATGAGGAATTCCTTTTATTTTGAAGTTTCCACAATTTGTTGAACTGTTGCACTTGTTTCCACCAAAAGCCTTCCTTTCAATATGCTGAAGATTTCAAGGACTACCTTTATAATTAAAAACAAATTTTGGTGCATTACATCAAACTTTTGAGGAATCTGTCCATGCTCGAGTTCCACAACCCCAAGGTAACTGACCTGACATTCGTGTGAGCACATTCCTAAAAGTACGTGGTTTATTTTTGGCAGTGTCAATGAGCATTTCTTGTGTGGCTCTAAAACCTCTTCCCAGGGGGACTTGCTCTTTCTGCTGTAGGAATCAACATGAAAAGGACTTGATGTAAATATTGAACTGTACTACCAAAACTATGAGTCTGCTTTTATAGCCCAATTGGGAAAAATGCTGTTAAAAATAAGCCTTTACTTGATTATAAAGGTGCAGTACACTTGCATGGAACAAACAATTGCACTGTCAATACTGAGCAATGAAGAAAGTCATGAAAAATTCCATACTCATTGGCCACTTTTTTGGACACTTTTTAACCCCAACAATTTGGTGACAGTATTTTTTTGGGGGGGGGGCTAGAGATAAGAAAGGGGCTTTAGTAACTTGGGGGGTTAAAAAGCAGGAAGGCAACAAAGTTAAAAAGAAAGAAGAAAGCAAAAAGTTTCCCTTATATCATTTCTGTGGTCATCATGGTGGCCTCCAACCTGTAGTTGATCACGTACAATAACTGCAAGTGTGCTCAAAATCATCCTTAATCTATCTGGGTCATTCTATAAGTTAATGGTCTAAATTTTATTGTGTCCCTGTCACACTTGACATGTGATTTTGTAAGTTCAGAACACATTATCTGTTTTCCAAGAGTGATGAATTAATGCAGATTACCTGCCAAACAAATACAAATACTTTGAAATCAATTTCAATGACATTGCCTGTCAAGTTACACAGGTCAGATGTAACAGGGACACAAAAATGTCATAGTCTGGACCCTGATGTTATAGAATGACCCATCTCTACAGTCAACGACGGTGGCATCAATGGGAAGAGTTCCATCTATGGACACCTATAATTATTACCTACAGTGACCAATTAGCCGTCAAAAAGCAAAAACATGTCCAGTAAAGTTCAATTTAGGAGGGAAAATGCCAAGTCGTTCAACTTCCTTACTATTTCAATTGATTTGAAAGTAGGCCTAAGTATTTTATACATAGTCTATAGGTTACTTCTGGGAAAGTAGCCAGTGAGTATGGAGTTTTTCCAGAAAGTCATGTTTTAAACCTGACACAACAGCACGAACTATTCTGTAGCCAGCTAGCCCAGCTTGCAACAACAACAATTTCCTGATGCTTCTGTCATGTCTGTCTGTCAACATGGTCAAGTTTAAATCTTTGTCATTACTATTTTTATCAAAAATAGGTCATTTGGGAGACACTTTGTGGTAAATTTTTCAACCTTAGGGAGACATTGGTCATTAGGACTAATGCTCCAACTTGAACTACCAGGAGGCAGCCGAATTTTACCGTCCAAATTTTGAGAGATGACGGATTAGGGTCTTAAATGAAAACATGCAAAGTTTGGTTAAGATCAAATCAGGGAATATTGAATTGTGGGACAGTACAGTTGGAAAAATTTTGTGCACGTTCTTATGGGAATGTCTCCCAGTTTCGGTAACAGGCTAGGCCCTATATATTATTATTATTTCATTCATGCCAACAATGTACATCACAGAGGGATGAGCACAGGAAAGACAAAAGTAATAAAATCACTGTAATCAAAAGGCTTGTCTATCCTCACATCCAGTCGTAAAAAAAAAATTTTAAAAATACATATAAAAATACGTATGGTCCTATTTCGTGTAGGCATGGTATTGGTAGGCCTATTTAAACTATAAAACATGTTGAAAAACTGTTTTTTGGAAACAAAAAAGTACCCTGCGCGTTCTTGATATGCTGCCCGTTTGATATGATTCTTGTACTGTTCGTTCCTTCCCTTGTGAAGACGGTAAACTCCTACCACTGTTGCCATCGGCACTACTGCCATGACTGCTGGCACTGACATAGCTGCAGTCGCCGCGATTACGCGCGGCTGTAATCCGTTCATACTCGAACAAGTTGTTGAAAATTGTCGCACCAGGGAAAGGCAGTTGCACTCCGGATGAGTACAAAGCTTTCAGAGGGTTAAAATTTGGGGATAAGAGGTTTGTTTCACCCGATTCATCCTCACTGTTTGGATCAGACATGTTTTCAACTCTCATGGGCGCAGCCATATTGAATACCAAATTAGTTCAGAAGTTTTTATATACTTTCTAAAATCTTTGAACCTAAAAATCAATTTAGACCCTAAAAGTTGCAGGTTCGAAATATATTAAGTTTCTCAGAATTATTTTATTAAAAACATTAATATTTAAATAGTCAATACAGTTGAAAATACCCTTAATTAGAAAAAGTAATCTACTTGACGACCAGAAGCGGCGTTCATTGCAAAGACTGGTTCCCAGTCTGGCGATGTAGGCCTAATGCTTACAAACTCGTGCTAGTATGGGTACCAAACTGAATACACAACCGTACACGTACACGTACACAACAATGATTTCTTTTTACTCTGCCGTAGTGCCAAGTTGATGCATCATAAACAATTCTAACAAAATGCCTCCAAAGAAGGGCAAAGGTAAAAAGGGCAAAAAAACAAAGAAAGCCGATGGTGAGGAAGATTTTGAAGCTCCTGAACCAACAGAAAAGGAGAATTTATTGAAAGCAGAGTAAGTTCGCTCATTTTTTACCCTCCGGCAATATCCAAGTCTGTGATTTGCTGGACTTTACTTTTTAATTTTAGTCCAACATTAACATTAGCCTAACTTGTTAACCGCCCATGTAATTGTTAAGCTAGCTTACTTTTGATTTTAGACCTAAATAAGTCTAGAGTAGAAGTAAATTCCACAAGCGTTATCGCTAACCGCATGGGTGATTTTGTACAACGGCAGAAAGGCAAAGTTCATCCATAGACTTAGGCCCTAGCTCTAAGTGGAGCGTTTTTAGTAGGGCCTAGGCCTGTTCTTTTTTGATTTTTGACGGGATCGTCATACTAACGCTCCATGCCCGTACATATAGGCCTAGTAAGGTTGAAATGGTTCTCAACAATTCCAAAGACTCACCAAAAATATCTCATGAGTGGTCTATACGTGATCTGGGCACAAGACTTGTTGATCATGACAGTTGGGAGTGCTACCAACCACTGTTTCCTCTCTAGGCCAACATGATCCTCTAACAAAACCGCAGGAGAGGCCCAAATGTAGTTGGGGCTTAAGACGTATTGACCAGGAAATGGCGTATTTCCTTCCCACATGTCCCACATGTTCTACCATTGTTACTTTCAATAACTCTTTTTAACTAGGCCCATAGGCCTGTTTTCTTCTGTCTGTTTTTTTTTACTTGATCTTGGAGAAGATGTCATAAGAAACATTTTAATATAGGCCTAAGTTTCGATTCCATCGGTCCCTGCAGAGCGAAGACATATTGATTTAAAGTAGGGATATTTTGAGATGTTTTGGGACATGTTTTGTACATGTGTAGGCCTAATATAGAGCAAACTTATTTTTTTAATGCAAAAATGAGCATGGATTTGGCCTGAAAAGCTTTAATAAAATCCATATTTTCATAAAATCTTTGTTCTTATTCATGCCTTCACTTGAAATTTCATAAAAATTTGAAATTGGAAATTAAGTAGAGGAGGTAGAGCGTGTGGAAAAATCACGTCTACTTAGACTCGAGTTGCTACCATTGTCTTACCATTGTCGTAAAGATGAAAAATCCAGGACCTTTTGTTCTTTTTTAAACGTAAGGCTGGTCATTATGACACAACTTTTGATACTTTTGTCCAGTTTAATTTTAACCAGGGCCATCCTACCACAAGACTATCTTCCGATCCATTTAGTTTATCCATTCCCTGTTGTAATTCTGAGTCTCACAAAGCCTTTTATTTTCAGCGTATTTTAACACATGAAACCATGGAACCAACTTCCTTCTGCAGCCAGATCAGATTCTTCATATTCATCATTCAAGACCCAAATTATGGAATATTACAAAACAAAGTTCAGCTCTTGCTTCAAATCCGATAATGTGTGTACTTGGATGTCCAACTGTCGCTGTGCTGGCTGCAGATATTAATAAATTCCCACTTTTCTTATTTTCTTTGTTCCTTTTCTAGCTGTCTTTTCCACCTCATACTTTATTTGCTTTTTTGTTGGAGGGGGTCGTCATGTGGTAGGATGCCTCTGTAGAGGTGCTGGTCACTTGTTCCATCTTGCCCTTCACTGCTTTTTAAGCATATTCTTTTTTTATAGCTGTCATCTGTGTGTTGTTGTGTCAATTGTTTTATGTCTATGTTTTTTAATGTATTTAATTTTTGGTTTAATAGCCAGTGGAAAAGTGAAATAAAAAAGAAACAAAACAAAAAATAAAAAGAAAAATTTTAATCACAATTTCCTAGTTAAGAAAATGAGTACCCAAATTAACAGTACCCTCACTCGTTGCATGTCTCTACCATTGTGCAAAATCACCCATAGTTAGCGACATAGGCTTAGGGCCTAGGCCCTATAGCAGTATAGGGG